ATTTTCCCAGCCAATTATATTAATTATAGACTTTCAAGTAAGGGTGGACTTCACCATTTTTACATTTAAATAAAAATAATTCTGAATTCTTTCTTATAGATCCTGACAGAACAATTAACTAGTGAAACAACCTGCCTCCAGAAGCGGTGAATGCTCCAACACTGGAAGATTTTAAGAAGAGACTGGACAGCCATTTGTCCGAAATGGTATAGGGTTACCTGCCTGAGCAGGGGGTTGGACTAGATGACCTCCAAGGGCCCTTCCAACTTTATTATTATGTTAGATTCAAGAGTATGAACTCAAGGATTCCCAACCCTTTACTCTCCTCAGCAACGATACTTTTACAAGCAGGCAAGCTACTTCAGCAACTTCATAAAATACTAATCTTCAGGATGCCCCATGGAAAGTCTCAACAGTTAAGAATCCCATATTTTTTAGTTGTCATCACCTGTTCCATGACATCAAGCTGAGAGTGCTCAGTCTCAAAAAGTTTGACCAGAAGCTGCAAAACTAGAGGATGGAGCAGTTGGTGGCAGGTGCTGATCTGCAGAGCAAAAAGCAAAATGTTAAGATCTGCATTTCTACTAATACAGAAGCTTAATTATGAGACAACTAGGACAAGCCACAAACCTTAAAATGCAGAATACAGGTAGCGCTCAACTTACCACCATTCATTTGGTGATCGGTCGAAGTTACAATGGCATCGGGGAAAAAATAACATGACCATTTTTCACACGTATGACCACTGCAGCATCCTTCTGGTCACATGATCAAAATTCAGACGCTTGGCAAATGGCTCATATTTATGACGGTTGCAATATCCCGGGATCTTGTGATCACCTTTTTGCCACCTTCTGACAAGCAAAGTCAATGGGGAAGCCAGATTCACTTAACAACCGCGTTACTGACTTAACAACTGCAGCGGTTCATTTAACAACGGTGGCAAGAAAGGTTGTAAAATGGGGCAAAATTCACTTAAGAATTGTCTCACTTATCAAGAGAAATTTTTGGGTTCAAATGTTGCTGTAAGTTGAGGACTACCTTTATTTAACAGTAGTGGCCAAAATTGTGGAAACCTTTTGGGAAAAGTATACAGTAGAAATGTCACCTTCGATTAAGTTTCCACCAATTTTTTTTTCTAATTTCTTTATAACTGTAGCCTTGTTCACTTAACAATACTATTTTACATCGCTTTCTGGGCGACCAGTCAACTCTTTGCACCATTACTTTAATTTTATTACATTTTACAAGCTCACTAAATGAAAGAACACAAAAAAAACCCCCAACCAACTTGATAGCGATCACATAACACACTGACAAACGACCTCCTCTCAGCTTCAATACATGACATCAATAACTGAATCCTACTGTGATCTGATTGGCTCATTGCCAAAAGAAGATGACACCTGATTGGCTCTCTCACCTGATTGACTCATGCTCATTGGCTACAATCAGAGGAAGGAAAGCTACCTGATATCAACCTAAGCAAGCTGTGCTTCGTTTTTCTGGTTATTTGGCCATAACTTTTCATAGAATACAGTACAGATAATTGAACAAACTATGTTGCATTACATTCTTGATTAAATTATCTTTCCATTGATATATAATTTTATGGTACTACTAAAAAAAAGTGGTGTTATTAGCTATCAGACCTCAAAAATACACTTTTCCCAAAAGGTTTCCACAATTTTGGCCACTACTGTATTAAGAACTCCTGAATTTTTAAAATATAGAATCCATATGATTGCCAGTGTACCCGGATGACCAGTAGGGATTTATGCCCTCTGGCAAATATAAAAATTGGGTCCTGAATCAGATTTAAGCCACAAGATGAGACTGTGAAATATATTAGCATATTCCAGTCCACAAGTCAGAAAAAAGATGGTATGAAAGCAATTATCTGTGGATTAAAAGGACAAAGCGAAAGAAAATAAATTCTATCTTATCTTTTTCCTTCTAGTGAAACCTGATTACAGATTTTTTTTAAAAAAGAACCATTCAAAGGTATGAATAAAGCTCTTGCAGTAGGATATAATTTTTCTTCAGGAACAGCCTTGATTTAATAAACCCTTGATTTAATAAAAATGGAACTTAGTTAACACACAGGAAATATTTGCCACTTCCACTTGTGTTTTCCCCACCTACTTTTAGAACTGTGGTCTGAAAAAAGGTTTCGCTTCTCTTCAACAGCAAAGAGGGATCACATGACCCTGGGATGCTGCAACCACTGTAAATACATGGCAGTTGCCAAATGCCCACATTTTGATCACATGACCATTGTGAAGCTGTGACAATCCTAAGTGCGATGATAAGTCACTTTTTTCAGGTCCTTTGCAACTCTGAAGAGCTGCTAAATGAATGGTTGTAACTCAAGGACTATCTGAACTGATCCAAAATATTAGTAATGACAATGGTATGACACGCACCAAGGTCAATAAACAGCAAAATAAACCAATTTACCCACAGGGCTGATTTAACCTCCCAGCCTCACCGCACCATGGCATTGGACCTGGTTACCTCCGAGACCGCCTTCTGCCACAGATTGCCTCCCACCGGCCGATACGCTCCCACAGAGAGGGCCTCCTCAGGGTGCCGTCAGCCAGACAGTGTCGGCTGGCGACCCCCAGGGGGAGAGCCTTCTCTGTCGGAGCACCCACCCTCTGGAACGAGCTGCCCCCAGAGATCCGGGT